AAATGAAAAAAATTACTCAGAAAATTGCATTATTTCAATTTTATAAGTTTGAAAATGATGATAATCTCTCTAAAATAAATAAAATGACGTCCTTCTTTCGAATTATTTATCATAAAAATCACCCGTCGTTTACTCCATCAAAATACTGTATTTAAAAAGCTTATTTTCTATTGAAAGCAACGGTAGTGACGACAATCTTTTCTCTGACTGAGTGTTCTTTTGGAATGTATCAATTCGGTTTATAGTTGAAAAGCTGCACTCAACAGATGCACTAGTAGTTTGTATTGTAAAAATTATATACATGTATATACAGTCGACCCCCTATAACACTGTGGTTAATTCCGTTTTATATGAATTCCATGTTGTACGAGTCGCTTAGATTTTAGAAATACGTATGCCGGGCTGTGAACGGCTCACGTATTTGTAAAATCTAAGTGACTCGTAAAACATGGAATTCATATAAAACGGAATTATCAACAGTGTTATAGGGGGGTCGACTTGTAGATAATATACATTTATATAATTTTTCACATCGGCGTTAATTATAATATATTTTATGTCTAAGCATCCACCAGCTAAACCGCCAGAGGTTAGTACAGCGCTTCCATTGGAAATATGCCCATACAAATTTATATTCGAATATACAATAGTAATCTTATCGTTGTCTTTCAACATGCATAGAAATTTGCAATAAAATACATAATGCGATTATAAAAAAAATTATTAATTTTAAGTAGTTACTTAAAATTAATTTTTTTAAGTTTATTAATTAATTAATTAATTAATAAACTTAGAGTACATTAAAATGTGTAAATAATTGCACAATATGTATTTATGTTTTAGAAAATACAAGGAATGCGGCAGTTTCACAGCGTCACTGGACAGCCCGCCACTGATGGAAAGCGTGGCTCGGATAGCTTGGGTCTAACATAAAGGAACCCGTCTTTCACAACCGACCTCTCCACAGTCGGCCTAGTCAAACCTACGATAGGGATACTATACAATCTCTCTTATTCTCCTCAGGACAGAGAGTTACAAACATACAAAACCCTTATCGGTGACTTCAAAATACAATGGATAAACTTTATTCTGTGATTTAGTGATTGTATATTTCTGAAACTATCGCCATTTTTTTACGTATCGATCATCAAGGCAGTATGATCGAAAGACAAGATTCAGACGTAGGCCTATACATGACGAATAGCTAAAGAAGCAAACCTTATGACAGCATCCGTTTGATATGAAACAAAGTATACGATTAGCTTGCTTAGCTGCTTGCTATCTAAATGCACCCTATGTTTACATTTCAAGCCAAGCATTTTTGGTTTTCGTACACATACGTCGTATTCTTGCAATTTCGACATTCTTATATCTTAAAATAGTTTTTATTGTAATAACCGAGAAGTTTTATTTTGATATCTATATATTGTAATTTCAATTGCTATTTTATGATATCCAGCAAAATGTAACATTTTAAAACATAAATCTATTAATACAGGGAAAAACACACTTGTAGTGATATATTCTTCAATTTCGTTCGACAATTTAAAGTTCTATGAAATATTCTACTGAATGGACTTCAGACTGACGGTGATCAGAGTCTAATTGCAGCTATTTGTCAATCAGTAAATATTTTTAAATAAAAATTGTTCAATTATTGATACAATACAGGATTATCAGTGATACATTCGCAATTCTTACATAAAACAGAAAAACATTATTAATTGTTTTATTAAGAATCAAATTATAAATGTATTCCGTCGCCTTCTTCTTAATTCGTAAACCAATAGAAACAGATATTTAACTCCGAATATCAATTGCCTAGAACAGCAGCAAACCGAGTAACAACGTTAGCGTTGACATACTTTTTATTTTTTTCTGTTTAATATTCTATAAAATTAAGAAAAAGGCGACAGACAACATCATTATTGATATTACTTAGAAATATCAGAATATTTATTTAGAGTATGTTTCTCTGTTAATCATAGAGAAATTTCCACTTTTATTCAACACGTGTCTGCATTTCTTCATATTTGTCGATCTTTCTAATTCAATAAGAGAATTTAGCAGTGAGTAAAGTGCACTGATTACCTGAAAATAGTAATAATAATTATATTATAATAAGCTTACAACTTCAAATATAACATTATAATATTGAATTGTATTTAAATATTGAAAGGTTTCATTCTTTTTAATGTTTATTCTTTCCACCCTGTAGAAACTAAGATGAACTTATGATTATACCCATTGTGGGTTCGGCCAGGCTTAACATGGGAGCATGACAGATGAATGCCATAAAAAATTTCTGGACATTCGTGAAAACAATGATAGCCTCGGCCGCCTTGCCATCCTGTAAATCTTCTTCACTAACAACACGGAACTTTCTGGGGTATGAAACAGACAAAAAAAAATGTTTTTATTCTTTCACATACGAAAGTAAACAATAGAAATACGCCATTGTAAATGCATACTAACTGATGTACCCGAGTTTTCTTTTGTCCTGTCCATTCTCATAAGTATAAACCTTCTATAAATTTAATATTACACATTCACTGGCTTATTGTGTATTTAACACGATAAAGTATTGGAATGGTTTCAAAGTTGACCTTAACAGATTTTTGATATTCTTCACCTTTACGAGACTTTTTAAATTCGAAAAAAAAAAGAAAATTTGTGGATTTATATGTGTGCGTTTGCATGTTTGTGTGTTGGCACCAAGATGCGTTAATAATCGAGAAGTTCAATTTTGCTTTGTAGACTGCCTATAACGAGCACTAATAATATTGAATTTTCATAGTTCATGTGTATAGACTATGGCAAGATATAGAGAGAAATATGCTATATCTCCACGAAGGTCGACTGAAAAACGTAATCGTTATTTAAATTTATAACGTTCATAAAACTTATCGCTACCCTCAAAATTCAAATATTTGCCATTTTATAATAATTAATAATATATAAAATTTACAAATTAATTTTTATAACAGCTGGGAATAATAATCAACTCGTTTTTGGATTTTTTTCTATTTTTTAAATTATTTCTATAAGCAAAATGGTTAAATCCTATATCAATTAATCTAATTAATAGCCATATTTTGAAAATCTATTTTGTATATTTAATTGGTGAATTGCTGTTAGAAACTACAATAATATTTTCAGGCAATAACTTACCCTTATAACAAATGTTTTTTTGATGAAAAGGAATCCTCCGAAATTCAGACCAATTGGAAATCTCGCAAATCTTTTCATAAAGTTCAAGATCTAAAACACAAAAGAGACACTTCAACACGACGTCTATTGTTATCAGAAATAAAAATCATGTTACCTTCAACTTGTAGGTAACAGGAAACTCAACATTAGAAAGAACATTGCAATCACAGTAATTACCATAAACCTAAAACAAAAAGAAAGCGTTTTATTATTCAACGAAATTTATTAACAATATTAAATATAATAATAGACATTAACCCACCGCTGCAGTAATTCTGGATAGTCCATAAGCAATTAAAAGTACTAAAAATAACAATAGAATGGACAAGATTATCCAAAATATTTTCATACCTGCTTGTAAATCAAAATTAATTGCAATGAACAAAGAAAAGCAAGTAAAATAAATACAAAAGCCGTAATAAATGGGAAAAAGAATCTGTCCAGTTTCATTTATTTTCTGAATGAAAAACCATAATTGAAAGTGCTTCTGAATGACTTTTTCAAATTGATTAGCATTTCTGTTTACTTTTCCAACGATCCGAATGAAAATATGCTGCAAACGCTGAAATGAATGATGTAAGGAAATACCTGTTATGATCAAAATTAAGGCAAAGCTCAGAGAAAAACTATTTCTGTATATAAATACAAGAGATATATTTATATGACAGAAAAGAATTTCCAGTAAAGATGCATTTTTGAAAGAAGGGTAAAGATAGAAATCCAAGCATAATATTCGACTTACAGTTAATGTTACCCAAATGAAAAATACGAGAATAGACAGAATAAGCACTTTTCCAGCGACATTATAATCGATAGCAAAAAGATATTCATTCGGATCCGGAAAACTATTTCTTCGAAAAAAACCGAAAAGGAAAATGTAAAATACAAGTATCATAATTTCGATCGATAATAAGAGATTATTTGAATTTGATAAGAATTTTACGCAATCTTTACAAATAATATCAATGCCAAACATGAGAAAAGAAAACAATAAAAGATTAAAACAAAGAAAAGTTACGATAATGCACTGATAGAATGCGTATAACTTGGATTGTAGATTTGTTTTCTGTAAATTTTGTTCTTCGATGTAACTGATCCCGGATATACGAGAAATTTTGTGGATAAAGTATAAATTCTCCATGTGTATAGATTTGTGGTGCAGATTCACTCTCGTCAGATGCAAAGCTCTGTGTAATCTTTTAGTGAGTTACGTTGAAATGTTCAAATTAACATTTCTTGCATGTTTTAAATTTTTAAGATAATGGATATTGGTATATAGACTATAATTCTCGTAAATTACTGGTATCGAAAGCGAAAAGCTGATGGGTGCACTTAAATTTTCTGAGCTATTATAACTTATAGTTTTCGAATAAAATTTGATAGCCCAAAACACTATTATTCTTAATGATTTTTTCTCATAACTCATAAAAGCAAACTCGTTTTGCATGTAATGCATTTAATGCAGATCGATAATGTATTTGTTATGACATGCAATTTAAATTCCTTAGAAAATTAATAAAATCGTAATGAAATCGTTATTGCTAATAGTATGTTAATCATTTTTCAATTAAATTTAAATGGAATGTGAATATTTATTAGTAGTTTTATGCACAGTGGTGCTTAGTAGTACTATAATCCAGAGAGGAGGGAAAAAACCAGTGCTGTCGTTTCTTGGGTAATTTCAACTTCTCAGGGTAATGTTTAGTGTAGTTTCATATTTAGGGTAAATCTAGGGTAAAACTAGCCTGCGATCTGATGCTATTACCAGATAGATAACCTGGTTTTTTCTCTATGCTCTCAAGTATAGTTAATGCCTTGGTTTAAATCAAAAATAAAAATTATTTTCGATTTAATTTATTCAGGTTTTAAATAGAGATCTGTTTAAAACTAATATCTCAAATACTGTAGTAGAGTTATCACACTGCTCTGGTAACATAAAAATGACACTTCTATCATCAGAATGCAATCTTCTCTCATTTTAATGTTACTAGTAGCATTGTTGTGAGGACTCAACCGAGGTCCGAATCATGTAAATCGCGATATTCTTATGATTAAATAATAACGATAGATTAAAAGTGAGAGGGGGAGGAAAAATCCCATAACTTAAACAACGCGGCACAAAATGTAGACAACGAGTCTCGGATGACTCGAACACGTGTTAAACGAACTGTCGATGTCAGAGTGAAAAGTTATAAGTCAGAGACAAGTGGTCATATGCAGGTAGAACTTTGACCCCAGCGCTCATAAACAGTCAATCTAGGGAAACAATTTCTGAAAAGAGGGAAAGATTTAAGAGAGATAAATCATTGCATATGATTGTTCGAGTACCCAGATGACAGAAATCGCGNTGTTAATTTGCTTGCCATAGAAATTTAATCTAGATAAAGACAAACTATTTTTTTAAATAATTTATTAACTTTAACACTATATAAAGTGGACTATACAAATTTACTTCATTTAGTATAGTGAGAAATAGCATTTGGCATGAAATTATTTTGTATTTTTGACATGAGAAATTAAATTGACATTGGCTCTACATAATTTGGTAATTTATATAATATTTCGCACTATCGAAGGTAGAATATGAATGAAGATTTAAAATATTACTAACATGTCTTTCTTTTAGCTTCCATGTCATCACTAATCACTATCACTGTCAATATCTAATAATATTGTCTGAACTCTTGCCATCCTACATTTACCTGTTTTATTAGTCAACCTCTATCTCATCATTTCTAATAATCTCTAAGTTATTAAGTGCTTATAAATATGTTGAATATGTTGTCTAAATAGTTGGAATTTCCTCGTTTTTTTTACCAGTCTGTATTTGAAATCCAAGAATAAAATCTACTGACTTTTAATCCTCTCTCTAACCTATGCCTAACTTTTTTTGGCTTAACTTTAATCTCCCTTTATCTAATTAAGTTAATAAACAGAATTGTGAAAACACGGCGAGAATAAACCCTGTAGTGTTCGAGTCGAAGACCGCTCACTGTGTTACTAAATGACTTTTCGATAAACTGTCTTCGGGATTGCAAGATCCTTCGGATGTCAGGATCTGNGTTCGAGTACCCAGATGACAGAAATCGCGAGTAACGGAGCTAAATTATGAGCGCGAGTCTTGCAATTTTGTCAACAATCAACAGAACGGCGTCGAGCAGACACCTGGAATCGGACATTTCCCGTGACCTTAGGCTGTCTCAGTTTATCCCAAAACAAAAGAGAGACCAATCGGGAAGCGAGAAAGGGGATGAAGGGCCAATCGGAAGTCCGAATAGTGGAAGAGAAAAACTATAAAAATCGGAAAATCAAGGTCAAGGGGGCTCTCCTCCGACTCCACGAAAGGTAGTGACTTCTCTTGTAGTATGTCGTCGCAAAGAACTGTGGACTCCGCCGCTTATATCTTCCGATCGTCCGCCGTGATCAGCAACAGCATCACGTCCGCCCCGGGGCTACGACCGACGCCGAAATTCTCACACTCCGCATCTTCAAGGGAAGAATCTAGTGAAGGACTGTCGATTGCCGATGTAAGCATATATGTTAAGAAATAAACGGCTTTCTTGTGTAAAACATTTGTCGTCATTTGCCTCCTCCGTCACCGCCCACATACAACCTTCCCTTAGGGATTAACAGATCCCACCTAGGAGACGGCAACCTTACACAGGTGCCGTGAAGTGGGTTTCAAGCCCCCTATCTCTCCCGGATCGGCCATCTTACATTGTGACAAGTCTTTGTTATCTCTACTATAATATTTGAAATATTAGTTTCAACAATTTTCGAGACAAGAGGCACTTTTATAATGTTTGAAACTGTTATATTCCTACATATTGTAAATGAAAAATTCATATATAATGTTCCTGTATAATATATCTGTTTAATAAATAGGAAATGGTAAAATTTTCATTTTACTGTTTTGTTTTATTACATATGAATGACAATAAAATTAGGAAAACGGTAGCTTATCTTCTGATACATTTAAATACCCATTGAAATTTAATTCAGATAAAGACAAACTATTTCTTAAATAATTTATTGACTTTATATAAAGTGCGCTATACAATTTTACTTGATTTAGTTCAGCGAGAAATAGCATTTGGGATGAAATAGTTTTGTATTTTTGAAATTACACTCACATTGGCTTTAAATATTTTGGTAATTTATATAATATTTTGCACTATGAAAAGTAGAATATGAATGAAGATTTATTGATGGCATACTAAATCTGTTCTTTATTTATATAGGTTTAAAATATCACACATGTATTTTTTTTGTCTCCATGTCATCACTAATCACTATCACTGTCAATATCTAATAATATTGTCTGAACTCTTGCCATTCTACATTTACCTGTTTTATTTGTCAACCTCTAACTCATCATCTCTAAGTTATGTGCTTATAAATATGTTGAATATGTTGTCTAAATAGTTGGAATTTCCTCTTTTTCCTTTATCAGTCTATATTTGAAATCCAAGAATTAAATCTACTGACTTTTAACCCCTCTCTAACCTATTCCTAACATTTTCTGGCTCAACTTTAATCTTTTCCTATCTCATTAAATTAATAAACACAATATAAATTGTGAATAACATATATCATAGCTCTTTTCTCACTACAAACTACAATAATTTACCTAATATTAATAATTAATTAAAAAAATGTGGCGTTAACCTTGATAAATTCTAAAACCACCCTAAATCCTAAACCTTTTTTTTGTAACACTTTAAATCTATCCTATCTTAACACATGGTTTAACATTTCTATACTTTTCCATAATTAAATGTATGTAATTCTCATCATTCCCTTTTCTTCCTGTCAGATCCTACTGGTCAGAAATATTTAATTTAAAACATGCTGCTGAAAAGTTTGTTTCAAAAATCTTGAAAAACTGTAGAGTTTATTGATGATATTACCAGCTTCTTATGCACCTGTTGGGCGAATATTCAGTCAGCTACGTTTGTGTAAGACATCACACAGATATTCTTTAAAAACTGAAACGATTTGTAACCTAATACATTCACAGTCCAGTATTTAAATATTTTCCCCTGAAAGGAGTTAGAGGACACGCTCGACTCTATCGTTAAAGGAAAAGTATAATATACACAGGCAAGACACTACTAATTTGAGGTGGATAGCATACGTTTTAAATTAAATAAATTAAAAAATTGCAGTCCAGCATTGCGACGATGTCACAATAAATATAATAATTGCTCGTTACTTACATTTTGACGTGTCTTTTATTTTTAAACTACTCTTGAATTCATTGTTACGTAAGGTTATTGAATTCGTATTAGAAAGTTTTTTATCTGTTCAACTCGGCCACCCTAAATCAAATTTTCAGTGTTCCACTAATTATACATGTATTACTGATATAAATCAGTATTTCTCGAAGGTTTTTCTTGATTGCAAGGGGAGGTTCGGGTGTCAGAAGACAGAGAAGAGAAAAATTTATTTTCAAAGAAGTGTATAGCCAGCAAAAAAAAAAAAAAATACTCGCACTAAGAAGTAGCAGTATTCCGAACAGTTTGAGAAATACTAATCTAAATTCAATAGATATCTTTCGGGTTTTTCTTTCCTACTTTTGTCTCCTGCCTCCTGAAAGTGTTCAGAGGTTCTTTCTAATCACGACTTCTGCAAAAATTGTAATAGAGATAGTCGAAAGATGAGGGACGAGGCTCGAAATATTCGAAACAAACTCCCCATGAAAAATCTCCCGGTTTCGATTCCATTACTCCAGAGAGGTAGAGTGACTCATTATTTATCTTCCCCATTTTGCTGTCTTCTATCGTGCGTAAAATCAAAATGAAAACATAATATAAGAGCGTTACATTATTTAAATATCCATTATTTTTCTGTAATTTTTAAACTACAGATCTGTCATCGGTCTGTTATTTGTTTGTGTGTCCTTTGTTAATTTCCAGAACGGAGTTAGAGGAAAATCGATATTAAATATTGAAATTTTAAGGACTAGTTGCATTTACTAACTGTACACGAACATCAGTCCAAACTGAAAGTAAAATAACTTCTTAAATTATATCCATATTTGTATAAATTATATTTATTTTATTATTTTTAAAATTTGTTTCCAATAGATGGCGTTACATGTAAAAATCAGCACATGAATATATGCATATATTAATTCATATATAAAAAACCAATAGATGTTTTGGGATGATATGCAGTCGTTATCTAAGTTAGTTGTATGTTAACAGAATGGCCTAGTTTCGTAGAAATTGGTCGAACGGCCTAAGAGTGTATAGCAAACAAACAAACATCCTCATTTATAGATATAGATTGTATTGCAAATCCTAACATATTATAATATCTCAAGATAGGTTAATGATTTAGAAATGACAATTAACACGATAGATTGTCTATATTGTGCACTGATGCTATTGGATTTTGGTAGTAAAAGATCGACATGGTGGAGTGATAGAAGAAAGTCATATGTCAATATCTCGAATTCTTATAGGGAATGTCTCTTTGATGTAAAAGAATCCCCGGATATTCAAACCAATTGGAAATCTACCGAATCTCTTCATGAAGTTCAAGATCTAGGACAAAAAACACAATTACAACAAATGTATCGCCAATTATTTAAATTGCACTGACCCTATGGCATGATTCACGTTTGATTTATCTTAAAACTCAATATCTTAATCGATATTACTCATTAAATTAACAATACATACAATGAGAATTACCGTGCCACGTGCCTCATGTGTCCCAACGTATGGGCGCCCGTGGCATAGTAAAGATTTTGACGCAACTTCACCATATTTATACAAAATGTGAATTATTAATTGAATAAATTTATGAAATCAAGTAATAGAATTATTAGCTCTTTGATCACAATTATGGTTCGTATCTGAAGAGAACATTGGATTATGACTCATGCTTGAAAAACTGAATGTTTATGTTTGATGTATAAATATCGACCTGTTTACCTTACTGATTAGTCATTTTATGACTATACTTAAAATCATTAGTTCTTATCTCATTTTCCTTCAATTAAAACGCATAAATTTTTATCACTTTCAAATCATTTTCCATTACCTTGGTGTATACATCTTCCTATATTACATCTTATTACATGACTTTAAAGAGATTTATCTGAAAAGTTTAGGAAAGCATTTAGGAAGTACGATTGACATACCGAACACTACTATTGTAATTGAGTTGGGTTTTTATTTTTATAAAAGCTATCTACACGTGTCCAGTTTTGAGAGGGTGGGGAAATGGTGAGGTTAAGTTGAAAGAGGTTGATAAAAATAATGGTTTTATTAACTAAATTGTATATTTACTGACCTTAGTATTTTATAATAATAAAAGTACAAAACATAAAATAATGGCTCGGGATAACGTTAACAGTATCTATCATTTGACCTATAGACTTACCATTGTACCTTTGCCACTTCGCCACGGTTGAACCATTGTATCTTTCTCAAATCTCTCTTCAGTGCCATCACCTACAGGATAAAAGCTTTAATTTGATACCTGAACCGTATTTTTAGCCCCAGCCGTTTAGTCAAACTAAGTCGGACAATCTGAAAACCTCTTTCAATTAATATATACCATAGTTTCTGAAAGATGTTGAAACAATAACGATGAGCCCGATTCATTTGGTTCTTATTTAAATTTCTGGGGTCAAACTCGAACCTGAGCCTACTCTACAGATTGGTAGACAGGATTGGCCCTTTACCACGTCGGTGATATAATGTGAAATTAGAGCAGCCATTAAAAATGAGAACATTGTGTACATATCTGCAATAGTATACAGACTCTTTCATACACTATACCCCTAAATTCATACTTTGCTGCCCGTAAGGAGAGACTCCACTAGTAAATTATAGTATTTATTACTGTTATTTTTTATTTCTCTTTATAACATGCAACTAGGGGCACCGAAGCTTGTATGGGGCCTAGGAAAGACCGGCCCTCTGACGTTACGGGTAAGCCCAATGGTGCGTTATAGCTTAATAGGGTCCATGAATTAGAGACCCCATATACTAGTGATGATTTCAGATATGTTTCATCGAGGGAATTTTTTGAGGAAATATTTTCTTATAAAAGATTAGTTTGGGGCCCCAGGCAATTGCTCTTTTGGTCTATAGGATAACGTGCCACTGGGTAAACTCAGATAGAGAGTGCCAGCAGGACCATTTAGTTCCAGTCTAACATAAATGACTTAATTTTGAGGCCCCTCTATGTAAAAAATGGCGTTACAAAATATAGATTAGATTTTATTTTATTTGTTTAATTGACTTTATTCGCACAATTTTAAGGCTTTGGAGAGAAATACGAGGTAGGCCTCAGATTTCTAATTGATACGGCTCTACCTCCTTTCTCGGGCCTTAATTATGGAATGTAACTAATCTTTAAAATAATGGTCTTTTATATTTTAGTGAATTTGCTGAAGAATGATTCATTTTTTCATTTTGCCGGCAAAATTTACACGAAAATTGTAGGCAAATTATATCCGAGGGGAAAAAATCAGTATTTTATATTATTATGTTACAAAGAAATAATTGAATTTTGGATCACCTTTCATATAACAGTTCTTAAAATACATCTAGTTTATACACGTGTAATCTCTTCTATAGAGATATTTTTCTGCAACATTTCCATTTGATAAATAATACATTGACATTTCTAGTAGGCAAAATTTCTCTCCTTATCACTAATCAATTAACACAAGACATAAACATGTCTACAATTTTCGATCCTTATCAATACGATCCATCGTTTCTTCCACTAAAAAAAAAATATATATAGGCCTATACACACACACACACACACACACACATCATGCAATATTTGACTAAGCCCAGATACAGGAGAAAGCCGGGAAGGCCTCAAAAGAGAAGACCAAAATTAAGTTTTCTATAAAAGAAACACACACTCAGTACTTCTGATTTTATTTTATTCATATACTTTTATGGCCATCGGAGAGGCGTGAGGCCCTACATTTAAGAGTGATCCGGACCCCATTCACCTCTCTCGGGCCCCCTTTTTTTACAGTTACAAGTTTCACAAAAGTTTTCGGCAGTGTTTTCGATAAAATCCAGCAGATGTCGCCACTGAAGTTTCTCGTCCTAATTACTTTTTACCGTAGATAAACATCGATTGACAATAAAATAATTCGTATAAAATGCAATTTTAAATAGTCTTAAATATAATATTTTAAAAAAAGTAAAAGTGTTTCCTCTACTCGCAAATGTGTTATGATTAATTTCCTTTGCGAGAGCAGCCAAAAAAAGCCTACGCCAAACACTTGACCTTCAAAAACACACCAAGAAAATTGCTCTACTGTCTGCAGACTTGAATAAATAATCTCCAGTAAAATAAAAATAAAAATAATTATAATTATAATTAATTAAATTAATAAAAATAGACATTCCAAATTGAATTATATAATATATTTAAATTTATTTTAAAAACAGGAAGAAAAATATAAACAAATTTCATCCCTGAAAGTTCAAGGATTTCCTCCTTAATATTTTAATTGCTTAAATTAGAATTTAAAATATTAATATTAATTAATTCTTAAACGTAATTAACTACATGAATTTTCAAAAAAAAAACAATTATTTTTTTAAAAAACAACAAACAAATCACAAATTAGTTTTTTCTAACCTTTGAACCGTTACAAAATAATCTATCACAGTTAATGATTTGCTATTTAAAAATAAATAAAAAAAATTCAAGAAAAAGATAATTAAATATAAAGGTCCTTTTTTTTAATTGTTAAATTTACCCGGTTTAATTAAATAACAGAATTTAAAAAGGGGTGGCCCAAAAACTCTAGAAAATAGCACGGTTACCGGACATTTGGGCCACTGTGTATATGTTAATTAATGTATCATGAAATACGTGTTTAATGATACGTTAATTAAAAAAACACGGGGCGGCCCAAAAGTCCGGCAACCGCGCTTTTTGGCATTTTATCGTAATTACAATTATTATAAAAACTAATTGAATTTACTAATTTCAAACCTGGAATCTTGATAAAATATTTTTTAAAAAAGGAGGTCATTCTATGTGACAAAGCGCAGGCGACATTCCTACAATTGACTTTTATTAATAAATCATGTTAAATTTTCTTCCATTCAACATTAATTCATTGAAGAACAGAAACTTCCATCTAAAAAAAAACACATTTTAGGCCTGACTTTTTTCTAGAATTCTATAAAAAGTTTTATAATAATAATAATAATAATAATTCTAGAATTCAATTAATAATTATTACACTGCTTATTGTTACTGTACGTGTTTAATTCTTACTGTGTTTTGTATACATACAGCAGATTCGTTTATCTAGAATTATTATGTAATCAATTAAAACATTGTGTATGTAATAAGTAATAGATATTACTTATAGAAAAGTATTGATTGATTAAATTCTAGAATAAATTTCTAGCCGTTGTAAACAATTAAATTTATAGGTACTCGATTAAAAACATAATTTTCTAGGTAGGGAGGTTTTAAGTAGTTGTGTGGAAGGTACGAAAATAAACAGTGTTACTTATGACGCAATGGTAGTTTAAATATAGTTGTGCCAAAGCAGCGCTTCGCCAACCAAAGAGGGTAGAGATGCAAGAAGGAAAGAAAAAAATAAATAAAAAGGCCATTCGCGGAGCGAGCTCGTCGTTTGCCAAGCGAGATCTAAAAGAACTCGTTCACGTGTCTGCGATGCGTTGACCCTTATATTCTGACACTTTTTCAAACTAGTTTGCGAAGTGCGTACAACGATTTAAGGGCGGGGCCGAGCGGTGGAGGATTACTAAATCGTCTTTATTAAGATATAGGAAATGCGAGCGCCCTCTCGTCTATACTAAAACACAATGTCTAGTTTCGGTTTGTCGTGCAAACCAAGGCCCAGCGATGCAGGAATTTGTAACGAGTTGGGATATCGTGACAAGTATCTGGAGGCCCTATATAAAACATTACTGGCGGAATGCCGAGAAATGACCAAAGAGGACGACTGGAAGCGCGTGGAAGTTTTGGAAGTCGGATCGGGATACGGAGTTTCTACTTACCAGATATCGGAATGTATACCAGAAATCAGATCGGTTTTGGGTGTGGATGCGGATCCCGAAATAGTCGACAGCGCTTTCGAGTTGCACGCGGACGAGAAGGTCGATTTCGCTTGCGCCAATATCGAGGACATCACCAGTTTTAATATCAAATGGGCAGGAGCTTTCGATTGGTTATTTTCCACTCATCCCCTTTTGTGGGCCAAAGAGCAGACTAACATCTTGAGGAATTTGATGTGGTGCTTGAAACCCGGTGGTCGATGTTTTTTCGCCGTTCCTGCGAGCAAACCGCCTGACGTACACTCGGCTGCTACTAGGGTAATAAACTCGACTAACTGGAAGAAGTACTTTGAAGTAAGTTCTTAGTGTTTAATTCACGTGTTAGGGCACACACTGAGTAGGTTAAGTGTCGCGTTGTTACTAAAGTAATGCGCTATTTCTGTTTATAAAATAGTGTTTTCAACAAGTATTGATGCAGAGGAAAGAATAGTTAAGAATAGTTTTAATGAATCAGATACTTCCGGGAAATATTTAAATAGCAATTAAAGCTATTTTTAATGAATATCTGTAACGTTATTATAATTAAACTAAGAATTAATTGTATCAAATTAACGTCACTCACGTTCTGTAGCTGACAATACTAATGATTCATTTATTTACACTTGCCGCGTGTGCGTCGCGCGGGGGTGGGGGAAAAAATTATACGTCTTTATCATACGTCTCTCTTCTTTGTTTACAGTCGATTTCTGACGTAGTCGCTGACTTGACGGACGAGAATTTTAATCGTTTGTGGTTCCATCATCCGCAAGCCGATCGAGTGTATTCGGCTCTGTTAGAACAAGTAGGATATCAGGTGTTACACACCAGACAAATTCAATTTCGATACGTGTTCCTCACAGAAGACGAATATAAAGGTAAGGGGTCTGATGAATCGAAATATTTACAGTTTAACAATAGTCAACGTGTCCGATGTGTTTATTTGTAGGAGCAATCGCGTCGCGTGGAGTCGCGACAACAGTAGTTGAGTACTGTTATCCAGTAATTGTATTGTATAATTGAGGTTCGCGACGCAACGCGTGCGATTCCTGCAATTATTTGCACGTCACTCCAAAGCGACGTCAGCATATTCCATTAATAGTGTTTTAAATAACACAGAATATTACATCTCCGCACTTTAAAAACAAAAATAAAACCTTTTAAATTACAATTATTTTGTCATTGAAACTTATTTAAGAAATTTGTATATGCTAGATTAAGGTTATTATTATTACATTTTATTAGAAGTTTTATTTTTATAGAAAATAATACATTTATAATTTAATATAGATTCATAAGGAACTTTTCTCTTTATAACATTTATTTTTAAACTTAAAATCTATTTATTTGTTATATATAAAAAAAAAAAGGTTAGAATATAATTTTTAAAGTATAACCTCTATAATTCAAGACCAAGGAAGATTGCCAACAGCTAAAAAAAATATACTGAAGGAGAAGGAAAAAAATGCTAATTGGTTAAAAATACAGTTTGTCAAAAGGCTATTTTAAAATGTCTTCAAGTTCAAAACCATTTTACAGAAATAATATATATTAATTTGAAAATTTACATCTAATTGTTAAAAGAAAATTTTACATATATACAGTAAAATCTGTCTAAATGAAAATTCTGCCAAACCAGTATCAGTTTAAGCAGGTTTTACTGTATACAATACATGTATTATTTTAATGAATTATCTATAAAAGACCCTGCTTCTACTAAATTATGTTTAAATTAAGTCTTAAGTAATTTGAAATTAATTTATAGATTACAGGGTGGACTAAAAGTCAATTAACTAGTATAAATACAAATGTTTTTCTTTATATTATTTGCTTCTTGTCTTTTAAGATTTAATAGTTTAACTCGTCCACAAAGTCTTGTTACGTGAAGGAATCGCACATACTAGAGGCCAGCAATCGTGTCGCGCAAGTTTATTGTAAACACATGCTAACAATTCGGCATTTAGGACCATAGGACCTCATCATTCTAAAACAAATGTTTTGTAACTTTCCTTGGTCGAGGGCTACGGTCCAAAATGCTGAATTGTTAGCATACAGAAGTGTTTATAATAAACTTCTGTGATATTATTACTTATCTCTAGTGTGTGTGATTCCTTCCTTCATGTAACAAGTCTTTGTGGATGAATTAGGAAAATCCTTTGCTTTAGTAGTTTTTGTCTTACAATACGAGTGTTTCTGTGACCTGGTTAACTGATTTTTGGTCAACCCTGTACAGATATATATTTACAAAAAAACTTTATTTTTAGAATGCTTGAAAGAGATATTCAGGAAACCCATCGAAACCGTCCAAGAGAGCAAGAGGGCGGCGTTGATTAAAGACCTGATCAAAGCGGCCACCAAAAAAGTCAAGAAGACCAACAACAGAAAGTATGTCTGGTCCATACACTATGTAGCGGTTATAGCGAAAAGACCAGATTAAATTAATCTCTCTTAAACAAAGATTTCAATTTTAGATGTTTCACTATTGAATGTTGCTGAATTTTCATTTAAGATATTAATAAAAATTAAGTATATTTAAAATTTTATATATATATACATACATACACACAAACAAAAAAAAAGACTGTTTGTCAGTTCAAACTAAACAATAAACAATGTATTTTTATAAATTAAATAAAAAGCATTATCAGTTTTTGAAGAGAATTTTTCTTACACATCTTTATTACTTTTTTTAAATGTAAATGAACATTACAGGGATTTTTGCTTATAGCAACTTAAAATAATGACTCACATTAATAATAAATTTATTTATTTTTTTCATTCTTTTAGTCAGTTCTCCAGTCAACTGAAAGATCTGTAACGATACACACAGTTTTCTATACTTGAAATATTTTTTTCTTTATGTCTAAACCAGTAAAGCAAAGACTAAGAAGAAAAATAATTGTATTTTTTTTTTTTTTTTTTTTTTGTATGCTGTAGATAGGAAAAAACACATTCCCCTAGATATGGCTTGCAACTAGTTCCAGCAGTGTTCATTTACAAGCTTCTTTGGTATACAGATGAACAAAGATATTCATATATTCCGACAATATTCATTGTCGCTTTATTATTATTTTTTTTTTTGTTTTTCTTCTTCTAAATTTTTAACAACCAATGAACTCAAATGAAAGATGATATACTCCACAAGTACATGTATACAACTATTGTCACTTTAAAAGGAAATATTAGATGAGGATACCAATTTCTTGATATATAGCATATACATATATGTATATATATACTGTATATATATATATAGTGGTATATAACATTTTCTTTCGATACTGGAACCATATCAATATCAACTCTGAAGTTTTTTGCAGAATTAGTTTTAAGGTAATTTCTCACTTCTTTTTTTTTTTGTTTTTAAACTATTCCTGAAAGTAAAATTTCTATGGATATTTTGATGTAGAATAAGGAATCTCCCAACAGAAATCTTTAAGCTAATTAGAGAAAAGCGTAAAGATCCATTGCACTCAAATAAAAATATAATGTACATTACTGGGAGTACTGACTAAACCCATTCCTTAAAAATTGAAAGCCACTGCTGGTGCAGTTTTTGTAATAATTAAACAGCCCAAATATCTACATAGATTTTCTCTAATTGTATAAGTTACGGCAGTAAAATCATAAGTGGAAAATAGTAATATTACAAAAAAAAAACAAAACAAAAACAAAACAAAAAAAAAAAGCCGAAGACTCTCTCTATATATATTTGATAAACAGGAAAAAATATAAATTACATAATAACTAATTAATTATACATACAAGATGTACAGCACGTTACTATCTCTTCCGAATCAATTTATGGCTACTAATTACACTGACAGAAAACAAATAAAATAATTGAGAAATCCGTACAGTTTATCAAAGTGAATTTTTCTGGGAAAAAATGTCGAAACTTTCAGGCAGGCAGCAAATATTCATTCACAAAAGTATTCAGAATTCACTGGGTCATGACGAGATGATGCCATGTTATAAGGGAAAAAAGTGTACAGTGCGCAATCACAACTTCATAATTTTAGCTAAGATATCCATGAAGATTAGTCTCTAAGAATCTTTTCTAGCTTCCTTTTCTTCATCTTCATTAAAGTTCAACCAGCTCTGCTCTACAATGGTAGCTACCCTTTTTTCATATTCCCGTCTATTCTCCTGGTATAACTGCGCTGCTAAACTATTCGCAGGACTATTTGGATTCGGTTCGTCCAGAAGAGACTAAAAAATTATAAACAATCAGTTTACAAATAATGGAGACACAAACAAGTTCAAAATATATCAAATGTATTACTTATTAATTTAATAGAAAATAAATAATATATTAATTAAACATAATTTCAGATTAGAAACAATTTTCAGTCTATAAAACTAAGTTTCAGATTATAGAGGGGAATTCCAAAATATGGGAATAAACTTCAGGTGGCGATTCCTGCCGAAATAAAAAACAAAAACACTCCTATAAATATTTATCTAGAAATGCATAGTTAACACAATAAAGGATTTCTTTATGCTGCATAAATTTACAGAACAGTACATTACATCTATATTATATTAATATTATACATACACTCCGGTTAAGAGGTTCAAAGTAAGTTATTTTTAGTACATTTTATCTGTCTGTCCAGTCACAGATGCTTGAAGTGTCTCTAACGAGCCTCTATACAAGCATGTACATGTCTCGTGGACTGATGCACCCTTTTCAAATGCTTGTATCTGAACAGCATTACAGATGGCATTCACACATTCTACAACAACTATGTGAATACCGCCTTTATGTGTGTTAAGTATGCATTTCTTGTTTTGGTAGGAATCACCATTGAAAGTTTGTCCCCATATTTTGGAAACACCCTAAAAATTCACTATTTCCATGATCATGAATTCCTATATGTAAACATTTTTAATCTATATATCAATGTATTTTTATCCTTACTATGAATTTTGCAATTATATTATTTTAAAAATTCAATAATAATTGCCTTTTAGAAGAATGCATTTAATTTTAGCAACTATCCTCAATTAAAATAGAAACAATTAGGCAAGGCAAGTTTTATTAACTTGTGTAATTTTCAAAAGCTAAATAAAAAAGGGCTAAATTTGCACAAATGTTCTTCACAGTAATTTAAAATATGATTTAGAGAATCAAAAATTACTGTAATTTCTTTCTTTTAAGTTTGTTACATCTAATAATCTGTCACAATAATTTAAATAATGAAATTGATAATAACTGTTATGATTATATTACCACATAATTTACAGTGAAGGAACACTTTTAAAGTGACATATAATATCACAATTACACAGTTTTTAAAGAATTTTATTTAAATGTCTAAACATGATAACTTTATAAATTAAAACAGTGATCATAAAATCTAAATAATTGAATTCATTAAAGAACTTAAATGGAAGTTGACTTAGAATATCATCCATAACTTTTGAGTTTCTGAAACTTGTATATATGGCTAATGAATAATAAACTAAATACTGATATTTCTGTTTTCTCTATTTCTAGTATTTAAATTAAACATGAAAATAGAGGAAAATTTCATTTCAAATAATCAAATAAACTCTCAGAATGTTTGCAAAATCACTGGAATATTTTTTATTAGTAATTTAGCAACTTTCTGAAAAAAGCAAATAAATTATCTTACAGTTTTGATTATGATTTACCATTTTTAATAAGTGATTAAGCTACTACTGTTGTTATATATTTATATGTAATGTTTCCAAATTAAGATATTAGAAACAATTTTTTGTTCAGATTTTTCCAAAATATAAATTATTCAATGATCCAAAATACACAATACATTCTTGTATTTAAATTATATTATAAACCTGTAATTGTAAAGAATATTAGTGTTAGTCCAAAACTACTAATTACTCTTCAAAACTGAACGTTCTTGAAAATAAATTTCAAATAGATGCCAATTTATTTTTGAATAATTTTAATGAGTCAAAATTTAGAAGAAAAGTTAACATGATACTTAATAATCTTACCATAATGCATTGGGCTATTTTTTCACTAATATTAATAATTAACTTTTTATTAAGTAATTTAAAAGTTAATTATTAACAGTAGCGGAAAAATAGCTGAATGCATGACAGCAATCATTTGGCATTGGTTAATAATGTCTGGTTTTGAGGGACTTACATAATCTTAAATTTTATAAAGACATAATATTCATACCTTAAACAACAATATGCATTAATCGCTTACTATTAATGCATACTAGCAGATTTTATTTCTGATTAAATGTCTTAAAAATGTAAATTTATTTTTCTATAATAAAATATAAAATTTTATTAAACAGACTGTGAGAATTTATCCAAAATGAGCATATATTATTTCAAACATGTACAAAAGAAATAAACTGTCTGAAGAAAGCCAAACAAAAGTTGGTAACATTATTTGTAAAAGACATTCTGCAATATTTATAAATTTAGAAATTAAATTGAGTGAGGTTTTATAAACAATTGATTTATTGACATTTTTACATAAACACACAGATGGTTTTAGAAAATGAGACTTTAACACACCAAATAAAACCTCACATGAATCAATGTCATCTTACTGGCTAATCTGCCATTTAAAAATACCTGCATTGTTAAATATGAAAGAAAGAAAATCTACAAATATAAACATTTCAAAGACCAATATATCCAAATAAATGCCAAATTAAATTGGGCTCTATTAATATTAGTATTTAATTATTAATAGTAGCAATAATATATCCCAACTTAATCCAGCAATCATTGGCTTCAAAGGAAAATCTACAAGATAAAAAGATGATTTTTTCCCTCGGTGTTCTTATATTCTACTTCAATAGAACGTTAGAAAACTAATCATTTAGACATAATATCAAGAATGTTTATACTAAAGAAAGAGCAATTATTTATTGTGGCATCGTCACAATGCCGAACTGCAATTTTTAATCATATTTTTAATTTAACTTAAAATACTTGCCCTCCATCTCAAATTAGTAGTGGCTTGTCCCTGTAATCATACTTTTCCTTTAACAATAGTCATGCCAGTCATCTATCTAACACCTTTCAGGAGAAAATTTTTGAATTGAAATAACACGACTTTCAATTTGCATTGAAAATTTGTATATAGTTAATTGGGGCCTCCTGCCCTAAGGTTTCCATATCTGGTCTCATTTTTCATCTATCTAACTCCATTCTCAAGATTAAGGAAACACAAACAAACACACATGACAGTGGAAATTTATAGGTCTACAACTTTTTCAAACTGCAGTTGAATCTTGTATAAAAAAAGAGATTTAACAATAATTATTTGTTAAAAACACACTGATATATTGTAGTCTGTATTTTCTAGTGTAAAAGTGCATTGAAATAATTTCATATATTTTGAATTCTCAATTTTTCAATTATTTTTTTATGGATAAATCTAGGAATAAAGAATTGAATAGTCATTTTGACATTAATTTAGAACATATGAGGTAATTATGTTATAACCAGTGTGTACTCTCAATCCAAATTAATTTTCATATTAAGTTGCTTAGATAAGTGGTTCTCAACCTTTTATGTCTCACTGCCCACCTCAGAGGCTCCCTCAACTGGGAAGTTACATTTCTACTGAATGGTAAGCAAAGATTGAAGTAATAACTAGAACTAAAATATATTGACTTGAAAGAAAGATTAAAAATGTTTAAGTATGGTTTTCCTAAGGAAAATTCCTTCATTTATAAATTGTGATTTTTTTTAATTTATGAATTAACTGTGCAATTCTTTCCTACTTTAAAACACCAAAAAATTATTATTATACGTTAGGTAATGTTTAAAAAAATATATATATTTTTACCAAGACCTTTAGTGTCAGGCTTGCAGCTGATGAGAAGAAACAAGTTTTTGTATACTGGCTGGAAACTTGTTAGGTATAACCAAAGATCTTCCCATTTTCAATATCAGATGACTGACTACTAAAACTCAATTCAACCAAATTGGAATTTTAAAAACCTATAAAGGAATTTTTTTTTTCAATATCTACACTAGTCTAGAAATTGTCTTGGTTGTTCCTGAATCTGATTGAAGTGCTGAATTACTTTTCAGATCCACAAGACATTCTTGTAGTTCTAGATTCATATTAGCTGCATTTACTCCAAATGAATCCACCACACATTCAAAGACTTCCATGTCTAGTAATATCTGAACTTTAGTTTCATTTCATCATCTAAATTTTATTTTCCCAAATATGTTTTTTCATCATTAGATTTTCAATTAGGACTTCTGTAACATGACACTTAGAGTTAATTTGTACAGAATATAAACTTTAATATTCTACTTTGTGAATTATTATGTGGCCTCCCTGAAATAATCCATGGCCCTGTTGAGAACCACTAGTTTTGATAATTTGATTTTTCACTAATCTGTGTTTTATGAAAAGAATAAAAAATAAATACTGTAGATAAAAACAAGTATTGTAAAAATTATATTAAAATGTGTAGTACATATTATATTGACTTCTTAAAAATATAACAAACAGAAATCACTCAGAAACGTGTTTCCATACTAAACGTTCCAGGTAAAAATCAAATAAAATTAGTGCACTATATTATAAAGTTGTCAAAACAACCATAACTATCAACAAATATAACAAAATAAAATTTTGACAGCCTCCATGGTGAAGAAGCCTAAAGTGTAGCGTCTGCTGACAATTTATGCAAGAAAGACACTCACTTTACCATCATCCAATATTTATATTCATTTGTGACTTATTTAACATGTATAAAATCTATACTTCTGAATTTAGATTTTTCTTCGTAATGATTTTTTACCTACACTTTGCCTACTTACTTTCTGTAATAAAATACAAGAATTTACCTCTCACATAAATTGTATCTACAATCACAATAATTGGGAATAAAAATAAAAACATTTATAAGCCTGAGAATTTTAAATGGATTATTCATTTTTAATATAAAGTATTAATTATAAATTATTTTCTGTAGTATATCTGATGAAGTGTTAAATGTAAATTTGTTGTCTCTGAATTTCAGTTGATTTTTTTTATATATTTAAAATATTAATTTTCCTGATAGAGATAAAATTCAACACTTAACTGAATGGAAGTCAAAATAATTATAATAAAACATTAATATTAAAATTATTAAAATTCCAGTTATTATAAAAAAAAAATACTTGCTTGTATTGAAGTTAAAATGGCTGAAACATCATACGTTGGGCTCCACCTATTCTGAAGA